TTCCTGAAAGCGGTAGTGGTTTTGGACATGTTTCCTCCCGACAGCAACGAAATGCAAATTTGTTGTTTTATCATCACCAACAACACAAAGCTATCTATGACCTTGTGTTCATACCTGACTTAAGCTCATGTTTCACATTAAATGTGAGTACTACTTTTAATATAATATCCAGTTTTAATATCCCTTATTAAAAATAAGTTTATTCAAGTGTGCTATTAGTATACTTCTTTTAAACTAAAAAAATGTGTATATATACAACCCTCTGCATTGTGAGTAAATCACTCGCATATGCGACTAAATCTTACTCTGGGTGACTAAATAATACTTTTAGTCTACTTTTTATGTACTTCTCAGAAATGGGCTCTATGTACTTCTCAGAAATATACTTAAAATTACATTTAAGTATACTTTACTTATGAGCTACTGTATACTTGTGCTCCTAGAATCCATGTTTTCATTGTTATACGGTAGGGGGCACTAGTACACATCTTCTGTACAGAATTTCCAAAAAACACAAGTGAAGAAGAAACCGAAACAACAGATGCTTCCACATGCAATCTAACTAGGCTTGCCGCGATAGACGGTGCTGACGGTGTTAAGCTGCAACACCGGTTACGTCACTTGCCCACTGCGGCACCGACCCCCACCGTCGTTTTGATTTTTTTATAGTAATAAAAATAATTTAGTTCAGTAAAAGAACAGACACTACAATTAAAAACTGAACGCGGCTGCTCAATGCAGCGTGCCGAACGACAGTCGCATATTGTTTATTTTAAACAACCTTTTTAAAGAATAATTGAAAAATATTTTATTTGAAGTCAATCAAAAAAAAAAATCTGTAGATTTGAGGTGACATATCTCTTAGAAAGTCACGTAGTGTATGATGATCACAGACTCTGATTTTTTAGCTTCAGACTTTGATTCCATCCAGTCGGAGGAGATCAAACATGTTTGATATTTTCAGTAGATTTTACAACACATTGTTTTCATTTGTCACGTGTCTCCTAGCAACAACGCACACGTTTCTATGCGAGTTTGTGGTGATCGGAAGGAATTTAAAGTCTGCTAGTGTGAGATCCTCAGTCGTTTAGTGTATGATGCCCCGTTTTCCTTTGTGACTATTTACAAATGGCGCTTTTCCACTGCATGGTACGGCTCGGTACGGTTCACTTTTTGGGGGTTTTCCACTGGGTACAGTACCTGGAACCTGGTACTTTTTTTAGTACCACCTCGGTTGGGGTTCCAAGTGAACCGAACTGTACCGTTACCAAAACGTGACGTGTAAACTCTGCAGATCACGGATTGGCCGGAGAGAATCGTCACTACCTGCGTCACTGAACTTGCGACACAAACACAAAAGAACCGCTAGATTTAAATCAGCACAGCCAGCAAAGGATCGAACGCAACCGTTTTGAACGAGCGCACCTTTTTTAACAACCAAAACATTTTGTTGTCTGTTGCGGAAGAACAGACGTTCCTCTCGTTGATAGCAGAGGAGCGGATCCAGCGAGAGCTTGATGGGGCGACGCGGGATGAAAAAGTTTTTTTTAGGAGTCGTGGTAGTAGAGGCGGCGCAACTATAACAACATGTGAATAATCCCGCCCACTCTAAAGCGGTACTGAACTGCAGTGGAAACGCAAACCGTGCCGAGCCGAACCGTGCCGTGCATGATGCCTGGTGTTTTCAAAATCTGTTCAGATTTTAAGTCGTGTAGTGTATTACAGCCTTTAGTTGCTTTTTTCCTGGACAGATACGACAGGTTTCAGATGGCTCCTTCTTTGTACGGACGACATGCCTCTTTCATCTTTGAGCATAAACTATAGTTACGTCTAGATTTTGTCATCTTAAAGCTTGAGCTTAATTGGAACAGCACATTTTTATTAAATAAATTTCATATAATATTTTTTAAAATGACAATATTTTGCAAAATAAATAATCTAGGTCATGTATTAAGTTCATATTTTATTATGAACAACTATTATTAATAATATCTAAGACATTATACTTTTACTTATTGATGTCACACTGAAGCTGTGTGATTTTCATAGTAGTGTACCCTTTAAGCTCACCTTGCAATAATATGAAATCTTTAAAAATTACAGCAGTGTAAAACCACAGACCAGCAATAAACTGTCAATTTATAATATTATGCATGTAAAAGTACAAGTCAGTAATGCCTGTAAAGTAATTTATTAGCATAGCACACAATCTTATACAGCTAGTCAGCTAACTGTGTTCTGTAGCATCAGTGCTATGTTGCTAAATCTATCTTTTGTATCTAACTGTAATTATTTCCCACATCCAAGTTCCATGTTATATATACAAAAGTCTAAACATCAATCTCTTAATTTTACAATAAGTAGTGAAACTTACCCAAAATAAAGGCTTAAACAGCAAAACGCAAAAAGCACATTTAAAGAGCTCCTCTTTTAGTGAAAGTTTTCAGACAGCTTTGTCTGGAATGGCCGCCGGACAGTATGGAACACATGGAGAACCATATCTCAGTGTGCAATGATCTGATTGACTTGAAATTACAGGAGGTATGCAGCAACAAACACATCAATTGGTTAAGATTTAAAGTAGGATAACACATTATTTTTTCTTTTTATAATCTGAGCTCAAAAATGGAAATGTGCTTAATGGGTACGTGAGCTTAATAGGTACGTTTACCCTACACTTACAAGTATACTACTAGTACACTGATATTTGTATACTTACTACATAAAGTATACTTAAAAATATAACTTTACTTAAGTATACTTAATAAAATAAACTTGAAGTATACTACGTTTTGGTAAGGGATGCCAATTGAAGCAATGCATGTTTGTGTAATTTCAGTGCTTAGTGGTGTGCCGTGGGATTTTTTTACTTATTAAAACTGCCTTGGCTAAAAAAAGGTTGGGAAACACTGACTTAAGAAAAGCAACTTCTCAGAGACAGTTTCAGCGTCCTGACAGTTTTAGCACACGAGAAATGGTGTCACTTAGATCATCCCTGTTAAAGAACCGCTGCACAAATTATTAAAGTTAATGCGAAAATTACAAAATAAATCTAGACAAACTAGTTGACTGAGGACTATCCTGGGGTGCGTTTCCCAAAAGCAACTATGGTCGCAAGTTCAGTCGTTACCAATAGAGTTCAATGGAACTAACGACCATAGTTAGCTAACGATGCTTTTGGGAAACGCACCCCTGATCCATTTCTATCCAAACGTTAGCTTCTGTAGTGGAGCATCTCCCACTTGGAAAATCTTGCCTCAGTCTAGCAGGACATAGCCACTATATATTAACTCCAGCCTTGCATTGCTGAGGAGTCTATCTAGTCCTCTGGGACCTAAACTCATTTGTTTGGGAGTCCAGGAACACAGTGCCATGGGCGACAAGGGGGCGGCAGAGCACTGAACGCAGACTCTGCACGTTCCACCAAGATGGAGATGAAGTTAACTAAGCAGGAACAGTCCCTCTGCATCCAGGCAAGAGGTCACACGATGGAGCTGAGGGCGCTAATCATTTCCAATTACGGATTCCTTTTTAATTATGAATTATGCATGAATTTTTAATTAATCTAATGTTCCAAAGGTTTTCCTTTTTTTTCTGTTCCGAGATCTCAATCTAATTACTCTGCATTAAGCGAGGGTGCAGTGACCCCGTTGCCAACCTTCTGGGTAACCCTTGGTCAGCCCTCTCGCATCAATCTCGCTGCTGTCTCACAATTACCTATACTTTCAGCTACAACAACACGTATTTAATGGTCTAAAGTTTGGAGTTTAATTACATTAACAAGTGACATTGTGAGTTTTGTATTTTAACAGCTAAATGTCCTTTTCCCCCAAAAAAATTACTAATTGATACACTCAATATTAGCATAAGCATTATGATATTGTCTGTAACACTCTACAATTAGGGTTAATTCATTAAATTTAGTTAATGCATTGGGTATCAATGAACAATACATTCACAGCAGTCATTAATGTAGGTCAATGATACTAATAATAATGATACAAATTTCTACATATCTTAATTTATTTTTAACATTTCAGATTTAACTTTAACAAGAACTTTAATGCTGAATTTTCAGCAGCAATTACTTCAGTCTTCAGTGTCACTTGATCCTTCAGAAATCATTTTAATAAACTGATTTGCTTTTCATGAAACATTTCTTATTTTGATTATTTTTATCAATATTTTTGTGGAAACCATGATACATTTTTGTCAATGATTCTTTGATGAATAGAAAGAATTTGAACTCTTATTTGAAATAGATAAAAAGTCTTTACCATTTTTGTTACAATAAATGCATCACTGTTGAATAAAAGTATGATTTTATTTTTTTTTATCTTGCTGACCCCAAACTTCTAAGTGGTAGTTTAAATATACATTAATTTATAATTTAATAAGCTAATAAAATATTAAATATTAATCTAGGTTTATTAACCTAGATTAATAAATGCTGTAAAATATTGTTGTTCATTTATAGATCAGATATCTAAGGCATTAACAAATCTAAATGTAAAGTTTAACCATATTGTTTTCTTTTAATTTCTGGAAACATATTAATTAGCATTCTTATATCACTAAACAATAATCAATATTAATTATATTATTCAGCATAATCTAGGATATAGTTTGTAAATCCGTTTCAACCTAAAGCCAAGTATCCTCTGTGTCAAGAAAAATGGCACTGAATATACGTGTAATGCCTTCAACAAAGACTACAACTGACTTATCAAAAAGTCACAGACTTACAATATTTTTATTGCAGCCTTAAATATGTATTCTAAAACCTGTTAAAAACTGACAGACCTAAAAGAAAAAAAAACCCAACAGCATCAGGCATCAAGATGGTAAAGTACAGCTATAATAAACAGGCTCTCTATGGTAGAGCAGTAACTGAGGTTAAGAATTAATCAAGCAGACACAGTCCTGCAGGATCTTGGCTTTGGGTTCCCATCCAGCAAGCCGAATTCTACTGCCTTTGTATTATTATATTAGCAATTCATTCATCCTAAATGGAAGGAATTATGGATAAATCAAGCTGGTTTACATAATCAAGCATCTAATTCCATCACATTGCCCTTTTACATTGTGGTTTAACTGAGATCTCTTACCTGAAAGCTTTATGAGAAGGTCCGTAGCCGTCTTGGTGGTGATATCTGGGCTGAAGAGCGAGGCAGCTGTAGGTCCAGGCCCCGGTGGACTGGATTTGAGCCCAGGCAGATCCAGAGAGCTGCTGCTGCTGCTGGGTCGCTCCCTACACAGGGCAAAGGGAGACATCACAGACACATCCCTCTCCTGGGGTTCCTCCTTGATCTGGACGTGGTTCGAGGGTTCTGCAGGGGAGGCCAGCAAACGACCATCAGGTTGGCTCACAGTGGGAGATGTGGAAGCATCGGTGTTCATAACCTGATCACCAGTGTCTCCACCGTCCCCCATGAGCAAGCCCTCGCCCTCCTCTGTGTCTGTGCCGGGTTCTTCTTTGACTTTGAGATCGGGACGGGGGAAGTGCTGATGGCAACGCATGTGCAGCTTGAGGCTAAAGTGGCGGGAGGATGTGAAGGGGCAGAGCTCACACTGGAAAGTCTCCCCTCGGTCTTGGTGCTGATGGACCTGAGAAGAGCAACAGAAGAAATAATTTTAATGGATTAATTCTGATTTATTAAAAAAAAAAAACAATGCAATAAATAAAAATAAAAAAAGATTGTGTGCTGCCCTCTCAACTGTCTCTAATTACTGTGGGCTGTGCCAACAATAGGTTTACATTCAATGATATGTATATGTAAATAAACAATTTATTGACTTTTAAGGCCAGTTTTTATAATGTCTATTTAATATTGTCATCTGCCACGATAATATATTACTTTTGAATTACCTTAATTTAGAGGCTTTTCCCTGCAAATATTTATAAATGTGATTAATTGAAATTATTTGGTCTATCATTTGATACTTAATTTCATTAAAAATATGAAATGACAGACCCTAATAATTTTGCATCATAAAAAAAATCTGCATCTAGAGACGTTATGATAATTGATTTGATGTGATTTATGGCACAAGCATTTCTGCTCTCAGCGATTGATGTCACCTTCATGTGGGACTTGAGATTGTCTTTACGAGCACAGCGAAAGGGACAGAGGGGACACTGGTGACTTTTTAAGCCTGTGTGGATCACCATATGTCTCTTCCAGTAGCTCTTTCTCTTGATGACGAGACCGCACACCGGGCACTGGAAGGGCTTCCCTCCATCCTCAGGAGAACCTGCAATAAATAAACAAACAAACAAATAAATAATTAAATACATATAAATACAAATAAAATACATGCATATAGAGTTCATACTAAATATTAAACCCACAATTAAAAAAAAATTAAAAATTACACATCTATTACCACCATACTTGCATTTTATAAATATTATGTTTTTGTTATTATGTATTTGTTGCTAGTGATATATTGTTCGAAACATGTCTAGTATCTACATAGAGCCATTAGCTGGACAATGATGCCACATTATAAGATAGCCCTTTGGCATGCAGTAACATGTAGGCTAAATATCTCTTATCAACCTTGCATCTATTCGTGTGAATGAGATAAAAATTGTGAGCTATGATTACTTCGATCAATGCCAAAGACTCCTCACAATGGAAGCCAAACACAAGGATGTTTTTAGCAAGCCGATTATTGTTGTTGGCTCCATATCCGGTGTCCATTAGGGCTTAATTGGTCTTATTAGAAGCTGGCATGATTGCATTACAAATTCTACGAGGGCCTGTCAGGATGGCTTCATAAGTATTCCAGTCGTGTTCCTCGAAAAACATCTGGTAATCAGTGTTTGGTGAAATTACCGCGCTCAGGCATTCATTGACCCGGGGTGTAAAACTTCGAGACTGCCTATTTGCAACAATAAACCACCATCTGTGGCTCAACCTCTCCCGGCGAGATCACTGTGGAAACTGCTCGTGAGGTAAAAAGACTGAAGGTCTTTGGTATCAAGGGAAAGGAATGAGAGCCATTAGCTGGTTTCTCAAATTTTAATGTGCATTTGGTTTCATTACCAGACAAAAACTCTTTGCATGACCATCTTATAGATCTCACATTCATAAAAACAAGCCAGGTGAAACTCGATTATGATTTTAATTGAGGCGTTCTTATTTAGTATTTAAACTTTACACTTCATGATCTGCCATATTATAGCCATTTACAACACATTTATCTCTCTTGTGATCGTGACTTTGGCATTATTCTCTGTGTCTGCAGCTCCTTTCGGTCAATCCTGATTCCAAGCCACAGAGGTTTGAGAATTAGCAAAAGATCAGCCATATCTCAGGCGCTCAACCCGGGCCTGTGCTGAATGGAAACTCTGATGGTTGTGCCGGCTCTGGAGCCTGACCTAAATTCCGGGAGAATCTGCTGAGATGGTCCCCGACTGTTCGGGCTATGGGGAGCACACACACTGCCGGCCTCCGTTTGGCAGGCAGCACATCCGCGGGAGATGAGCAGGGTCTGGGAACGTGCCGCCAATTCCAGCAAACCCCCACTGTGCTAACAGACCTTTCCCAGATTCTCCAGCCAACCTCTTGCAGACGAAGCATGACCTTATGGCACTACTAAATCACTACACAGTGCATTCTTCAGTGGTGTAATTATAAAACATGTAGGTACTGTTACCTTAAAAAAATTATTACTGTTAAAAAATTATTCTAATGTAAAAAAAACAAGACCATCTGATTCGAAATTGTCTAGCATGACATTTTCTATTTATTTAAAAAAAAATGTAATACCATTTTCTTTTATCTTTAATAATCTGTAGCAATAGTTAACATTTTTAATGCATATTAAATATGAATATATATCTATACCTTTGCAATAAGTCAATTCGTGAAATTTCATGCCTTCTAGATATTCCACAGTCAACTGTAAGTGGTATTATTGGAAAGTGAAAGTGTTTAAGAACATGGCTGAGCAGCTACATGCAAGCCTCACATCACCAAGTACATTGGGAACTGATGGAGGGTTGTAAAGCACGTCGCCACTGGACTCTGAAGCTGGGAAACGTGTTCTGTGGAGTGACGAATCGCGTTTCTCTGTTTGGCAGTCTGATAGAGGAGTATGGCAGTTTGGCAGATACCAGGTTAGAATTAGGGGTGCAACGGTTCAACTTACTCACGGTTCGGTTTGTATCAAGGTTTTAGAGTCACGGTTTCGGTACAGTTCGGTATGTGCTATGTTTAGGGAAAAAAACTATATTGTCAAATAAAAATAAAGAATATATGAACAAATAATCTAACTACAAGCAACAGCACAAATAAATACAATAGAGCAAAGATACAAATAAAAAAACAGTGCTTTTCAGGTTTTGTAGGTAGGTCTAACATTAGTTTTTAGGTACAGAAATTTTATAAAGTAATCAAATGTAAAATAACATTGCATATTTGACTGTATAAATTAAAGATTAATCCTTATTAAAGTTACAAAAGTTATTTAATCAAGAGCAGTGAGAGATTTCTGTGTTGTTGCTGTTTGATTAAAGGGGTTATATGATGCGATTTCATTTTTTCCTTTCTCTTTGGAGTGTTACAAGCTCTTGGTGCATAAAGAAGATCTGTAAATTTGCAAAGACTAAAGTCTCAAATCCAAAGAGACATTCTTTATAAAAGTTAAGAAATGCAGACAGAGTTTTATGTTTACGCGGCGCGATGCAATGTAAAAAGACAGTATAAGTCATTATAATTAGTAATTATGTCCCCACTGGATGCAACAAATGCCTCGTTTGTAATGGGTTTTAATGTTTTTGTGTCTTCGCTCCAGCTGGGACACGCCATCATAGTATGGTGAGGGGCGTAACATTTCCGTCACACGCTTGAGGTATTCGGCCAATCACAACGCATTGGATAGCTGGCCAATCACAGCACACCTCGCTTTTTCAGACCGATGAGTTTTGTAAAAATCGAAGCGTTTCAAAAAGGCGGGGCATAGAGGAGAAACAATAATGTACAGTATGTGGAAAATAATGTGTTTTTTTTACTTTAAACCGCATAAACACATTTCATTACACCAAATACACAAAATAACTTTTTAGCAGCATCATATGACCCCTTTAACATTAAGAAAGTGCTGTCACTTTAAGAGAACGCACTGATACTGTTTACTATGATACTATGATCCTATGATACTATGTCTGCTAGGATACTCACCAAGACAGGCATTTTGACATAATTTTTGAGTGAATTTGTCCATTCAAGCACAATACTTCAAAGAGAGCTTATTTGCGCGCGTTCTGAGACGTGGGTTCACGCGCTTCGGATGACCGCACACACAGATCTACTCACTGCACGCGCGAGTTCGCGTCCTCTGGCTCTTTCATATTTAAACTGGCAAGGCTCAAATGAGTTTAGTTTAAACACAGATAGCAACGTGTGCTGTTCAGGTCTCACCTGCGTTATCAACACGTGATGACGGCATAATTTACAGTTATTCCAACATACAGCATGCATTCAACAAAGAGTGACTGGTTTGTCCACGTATTGTTTTTTCTCTCTCATCGCTCATGTTGTAATGTATTGGGAAGCCAGAATTTGTATCCATCAACAGAAACAAGCATTAGCCGAACTCTAACAAACCATATTACAGATGCATTGTCAGATTTAAGTTGAACCGCGGTCCTAGTGTATGCCGAACCGTGTGAGGAGAATGGTACTGTTCGATTTTTGACCAAGAACCGTTGCACCCCGAGTTAGAACGTTACCTGCCTGTCTACATTGTGCCAACTGTAATGTTTGGTGGAGCAGGGATAATGGTACATTCTAAAAAATGCTGGGTTAAATACAACCCAGTGCTGGGTAAAATAGGGACAAACCCAAGCAATTGGGACCCAGCAGTTGGGTTACTACCCAGAAGGTTGGGTTAAACATTTAACCCAGCCCATTTGCTGGGTTTGTCGGTTTGTCC